CAACAAGGGTTAAAAGAATCCTAAACCCTAAACCCTAAACCCTAAACCCTAAACCCTAAACCCTAAACCCTACACCCGAAACCCTGCACCATACACCCTAAACCCGAAACCCCCAACCCTTTCTGAGATGCCATGTTGAGACGTTTTTTTTGCAATCATCCTTGTGCCCTCTAGTACTGCTGCTACCATGACTACCTCCTTTCTGATGTTGGTTCTGTTGGCCTTCGAGTTTGGCAGTCTTTGTGCTTGTTTTCTAGTAATCTAGTACGATTATCAGTGCTACCATCTTGTTGTTGTCGTTCGTGCGACAAGTTTGTTGTCAGTTGCCATTGCTCGCTCTGTTGCTGTTACTGTTGCCGCCCTTCTTCCGACCGCAAGAATGTGACTTCATGCTATTGCTAGGTATTCCTCTTTTGTTCTTATATGCAAACCATTCCTAGTGCTTTCTGTTTTGTTGTCAGCACATATTATGAGTGCTTTGTTGATGTCTGTAGTACATGCTCATGATTCTTACGCTGTATGTTGATCTTCCCCAAGCCCGAAACTCTGAAGCCTAAACCCTAAACCCTAAACCGCAGCTGCTACTTTTCATCATCATCATCATCATCATCATCATCATCATCATCATCATCATCATCATCATCATCATCATCATCATCATCTTCATCTTCATCTTCATCTTCATCTTCATCTTCATCTTCATCTAGGTTCACTTTGGGATTTAGGGTTTCCGGGTCTTGGGGTTTGGGATGTCTAGGGTTCAGAGGTTCAGCGGTTTAGGGGTTTAGGGTTTCTGGTTTAGGGTTTATGGTTTAGGGATTAGGGGTTTGGGCGTGTGTGGGTTTAGGGGTGCAGGGGTCGGGGTTAGGGGTTAGGTTTAGGGGTTCAGGGTTTAGGGTTTAGGGGTGTAGGGTGAAACCTTCAAAGCCTCTGTTTAGAACCTTACGCCCGAGCCAGGTGGAGCAACGGCCTGCTTACCGACGACCTGGACAGCCTTGCCGTGACGGAGGAGACCAAGGCAAGGCCTGGCACGACATCATCCTTCACCCTTTTCAACCCTGAAGCCCAAGCCCCTAAACCCCCTACACCCCTACACCCTAATCCCTAAACCCGAAACCCTAAACCCTAAACCCCAAACCCCCGAACCCCAAACCCCAAACCCCAAACCCTAAACCCCAAACCCTGAACCCTGAGCCCCTATGTTGCAGATTGAGTTCGCCGGCCTGGCGTTCTCCAAACCTCGATCCTGAGGGGCCCTGTGCGACTTCTCGTCCTCCGACCTGCCAACAGCCCTTAAACCACAACTCCCTGATAGGGTTTAGGGTTTAGGGTTTAGGGTTTAGGGTTTAGGGTTTAGGGTTTAGGGTTTAGGGTTTAGGGTTTAGGGTTTAGGGAACCCCTAAACCCAGTATACTAGACTAGCTACCTCAAATGGCCGTTCAAGCCTTCTCGGCTTTGCCAGGCGCCAGGCCAGGGCGATCCCATCTTTCCAGGTGAGAAGCCTCACCCGAAGCTTGGCCGATGGGTTTAGGGTTTAGGGTTTAGGGTTTTCGGGTTTAGGGGTTTATGGTTTAGGTTTAGGGTTTAGGGATTTAGGGATTTTGGGGGTCTTCGGGTTTTAGGCTTTTGGGGATTCGTGGCTTTGAGGCTCAAGGGTTTTAGGGGCTTGTGGCTTTCATGGACACCCTAAACCCTAAACCCTAAACCCTTAGCCCTAAACCCTAAACCCTAAACCCCAAACCCTAAGCCCTAAACCCTAAGCCCTAAACCCTAAACCCTAAACCCTAAACCCTAAACCCTCCGAGGAGCCTGCGAGAAGGTGCCCGAGTGGTTCACGCGAGCATGGGCCCGGGAGTGCTGCTGGGATGGAAGCATGCCGGAGTTCGCACTGGAGACACCTCCGGAGGACCCCAGAAGCTAAGGGTTTAGGGTTTAGGGTTTAGGGTTTAGGGTTTAGGGTTTAGGGTTTAGGGTTTAGGGGGGTCTGAGAGGAGGGGGCGTTCCTTTCCCAGTCTTTCTACCCTCTCTCCAAAACTCTATGAGAAAACACAAGGCAGACGGGGAAAGACACAGAGAGAGAGAGAGAGGGTTTAGGGTTTAGGGTTTAGAGCTTAGGATACCCCCAACCCCAGGACCCTACATCCGAAAACTCTGGCCCCCTAGAGCCCCAAAATCAACGCCCTGAGCGCTTGCATCCTAAAGCCTGCAGCCCACACCCTTCATATTTTTTGCATTGTTGTCCTAAGCTGCAAGCCCTAAGCCCTAACCCCTAAACCCTAAACCCTAAACCCGAAACCCGAAACTCCGAACAGGCCTCAGTTCCGATAACTACGTCCGCATCAAGTTTGACACAGGTAAAACAGCCGGGCGCCTGTGGCAGCAACCGAATCACGAGCGTGCCATGGGGTTTAGGGCTTTTGGCTTTCATGGTTTAGGGTTTGTAGGTCTTTTCGGGTCTAGGGTTTAAGGTTTAGGGTTAAGGGTTTAGGGTTTAGGGCTTCCAGGCTTTCAGGGTTTAGACTTAAAAGCTCCGGGCGAATGGGCTGACCCTAACCAGCGATCCGATCCGAGTAACCTCCACTTTCCTGGGGCCTTGAACCCTGAACTCTCCTCAAGTCAAGAGCCTTGCAGATCCTAAGCCCTGAACTGAAACAACCTGAACCTTACTAAAACGCCTTGCAGATCCCAAGCCATGAGCTTCGAGCTTAAACCCCCAAACCCTGAACCCTACCTTCTCAAAACCCTTACAGATCCTAAGCCCTGCACTTTGAGCCCTTAGCTCCTCAACCTCAATCCCGAAACCATAAACCCTGAAGCCCTACTCCAGCAGAGGTGGAATGTGGAGGCGTGGCAAGTGCACTTTGCAGATGCCGGAGAGGTGGCTCGTACAAGACTCCTCACAGTTTGTGTTGCCTGAAAACCCTAAACCCGAAATCATTCGCAAACCCTAAATCCAAAGTGTGTTGTGTCGTTGCCTGGGATAAACTCCAACCGGGAAAAAACTCCAACCCACCTTAAGCACGCAGCTCAAAAGACACAAACACCCCCTCATGTACGGCGCATGACTTAACCCTCGACCCCAAACCCCAAACCAATTAAACCAACTATAAAATTCCTGAAGCCCCAACCCCAAACCCTAAGCCCTAAACCCTAAACCCTACACCCCGAACCCCCTGCTCAGGGTTTGGAGCAGAAGCTCCGGCAGCTGCAGCGGCTCGCGCAGCGGGCGCAGCTGGACTTCCAGCTGGGTACGGCGAAGGCCAAAACATCCGGCGTGAAGGCCCGCTTCTGTTCCACAGAATTGGGGGTTTAGGGTTTAGGGTTTGGGGTTTAGGGTTTAGGGTTTAGGTTTAGGGTTTGGGGTTTAGGGGTTAAATTAGGGTTGTAGGGTGTAGGGTTTAGGACTTGGGCAGGGGGGGGCCGGGAGGGGGGGGGAAGGGGGTCAGCAGACCAGACTCGGGTTTGGTTTGTTTTGTGGTTGCTCCGGTCCTTGGGGGGTTCAAAGGTCCAGGTGTCGCTTGGAATCTAGATGCTGAAAACCCTGAAGCTTGGGGCCTTAGGGCCTTAGGAGACAAGTCCATAGACATCTGCTGCAGCTACACCCCAAACCCTAAACCTTGAACCCTAAACCCAAACTCCAAATCCCAAACCCCAAACACTAAACCCTAAATCCCAAACCCTAAATCAAACCCTAAACCCAAAAACTCCAGGTGCAAGCCGGTACCTGGCACCTCCTCACCGTGTCGGCCAACCTCCCGCAGTCGCTGTCGCTGTGGCTGGACGGGGAGCGGATCTTGGATGTGGAGCCAGGACAGATCTTGAAACCACAATGGCCCTCAACCCTAAACCCCTAAACCCCTAAACCCTAAACCCTAAATCCTAAATCCCTAAACCCTAAACCCTGGAACCCTGAAACCCGCAGCCCCTCAGAGCATCGTAGTGCTCCCAACCCTCTAGGGTGTAGGTTTTAGGTTTTGCTGCAACCTAAATGCCTTGAGAAGCCAGAAATGTGGTTCGCGACCTGAAAGCCCTAAATCTAAACATCTTATGGTAGCAAAAGGCCTGCACGATTCTCATCAAGCCACAGGAAATCCAGACCTTCGCAGCAGTGGGCCTTTCTCGCTGGCGCTCGAACGAGGCCGTACCAATAGTTGAGCCTAACCCCTCAAACCCTCAAACCCTCAAACCCTCAAACCCCTCAAACCCTCAAACCCTCAAACCCTCAAACCCTCAAACCCTCAAACCCTCAAACCCTCAAACCCTCAAACCCTCAAGCCCTCAAGCCCTCAAGCCCTCAAGCCCTCAAGCCCTCAAGCCCTCAAGCCCTCAACCCCTCAAACCCTCAAACCCTCAAACCCTCAAACCCTCAAACCCTCAAACCCTCAAACCCTCAAACCCTCAAACCCTCAAACCCTTCAAACCCTCAAACCAAACCCTCAAACCCTCAAACCCTCAAACCCTCAAACCCTCAAACCCTCAAACCCTCAAACCCTTCAAACCCTCAAACCCTCAAACCCTCAAATTCTCAAACCCTCAAGCCCTCAAACCCTCAAACCCTCAAACCCTCACACACTCAAGCCCTCAAGCCCTCAAGCCCTCAAGCCCTCAAGCCCTCAAGCCCTCAAGCCCTCAAGCCCTCAAACCCTCAAACCCTCAAACCCTCAAACCCTCAAACCCTCAAACCCTCAAACCCTAAACCCTAACCCTAAACCTGTCTAGGGTTCCAGGTGCAGGGCTTTTTGTTTGGCGTGTTAGTGTTGGTGGTTTAGGGTTCAGGGTTGAGGATTCTGCTGTGTGGTAGCGCGAGTTTTGCCGGAGTTGCCAACATGATTTGTCGCGAAACATGGGGTTTAGGGTTAGGGCTTTGCAAGCTCCCAAGCCCTAAGCCCTAAACCCCAAGCCCCATACCCCCAAACCCTAACCCTAAACCCTAAACCCAATGTAGATTATGTAGGGTATACCGAAAACCCTAAACCCTAAACCCTAAACCCCATCTACATGATGTAGGATATACCCAAAACCGTAAACGAACTGCCCAGGTATATCGGTTTTCGGCATGGCCGACCCGACCCGAGGCTCGTCGACCGCCTCCCGGAAGACGCTCGTCTTGCGCACAGGGTTTGGGGATTTAGGGTTTAGTGTCGAAGCCCTAAACCCTAAACCCTAAACCCTAACCCTAAACCCTAAACCCGAAACCCTAAACCCGTTCGGAAACTATTCTTCAGAGGGCCAGTTTGGTTGTCTTGGCTCTAGCTGACATGGCCGACAGCGTGTAGGTTTCAGAGGCACTTTTGGGGAGGGGGGGGGGGGTATCTGGGGTTGAGGGGCAAACGAGGGAACCCTTTTGGGGTTCATAAAGAAAGCATGATCATTTTTTTGCACTTACTAGGGGAAGCTCTGTTTTCGGCAATACACATACAAGAAGGGTGCGTATGGTCTTCGACTTAAACATGAACGAACCCGAAAGTCGTCCAGCCCGCCCGCTTTCACCTCTGTTGGGTAGGCGGGTGGCATACCTTACTAAACTGAAAATATCGTCACATGACATAACGCAAGCTTGGACCAAACTTGTCTCATCGAAGCTACTAGATTACTAGATTCCAACATCGTACAGGATTGGGAATAGCATAGCATAGCCGAATAGATTCGAATCTGGGAATTATAGCGGACGAATTAGACGAAAACATCATATAAACTAATATCAGAAAGGATGGACAAGAAGCAAAGTCGGTTTTTCAGAGGCCCCTGGAGACCCCACGGATGCTTTTGAAACGAACCTGGGGCACGCTGTCTGCGAGGGTTTAGGATTCAGGGTTTCGGGTTTCGGTGAGGGAAGGACTGCCCAAGTTAACTTCGCTTGCCAGAAACGTCGAGAATAGGAAGGAGGCCTGTTAGCTCAGAATACCCCACAGAAACCTTAGACTTGTTGAGCCCTTGTTGCTTGGATGCTGGACTCGAGCTTTTTCCGATGAGAAGGGCCCGCCTAGGGTGGATATGCTTGATTTCGCCGGAAAACTTGCAATTCGCATGCCGTTCCTGAGCAGACTCGATAGGTGAGCTTTTTGTGTTTGGCCGGATTGGCTATGGCTTGCTCTGGTTTGTTTCGTTTGCTGGCACTACTGCGTCCAGCGGACTAATTCTGCTGCAGCCTCAAACCTAAACACAAAAAACTCTAACCTAAACCTCCCGAAATCCTAAGCCCTAGGCCCGAACTCCTAAACCCTAAGCCCAAAACCCTAAGCTTCTCTGCTCCCAGGAATTGGATGCTGGGAGGTGACCTACGCGAGATTCGGTTTGGCTTGGACCACTTAGCCTCAAAGGCGCAGGCAAGGCCACGAGCACAGGGTTTGAGGGTTTGAGGTTCAGGATCTAGGGTTTGCGGGTTCCCCAAAGCCTAAACCCTAAAGGGGATGCTTGGGGGTACCTCCTTTGGGGTCTCCGATGGTGTCCGCACTAGCGTTGAGGGTTTAGAGCTTAGGGTTCAGGGTTTAGGGCTTAGGGTTTTAGGGCTCAGGGTTTAGGGTGCTCTAGGGTTCGGGGCTGGCGGTTTGCTGGTGTTGGAATCCAGGGCTCAGCGAGGGTTTAGGGTTTTGGTTACGAGTGTGTGACGAAATCTGCATGTGCTCGAGCCGATGTCACGTTTATGACTATGAAGATGAGGGCCATGATCAGAATTACCCTACAGAAACACCGCGTTCAACAACCCTGCCTAAACCCTAAACCCCAGGGCGAAGCCCTAAACCCTAAACCCTGGGGAGGTGCTTCAGCTTCATCAGCCTCGGGGGGTGTGGCTTTGTCGCAACTCTGCGTGCGAACGCCAGGGCAGACAGACTCGGATCCTTGGTAGGGTTTAAGATTTAGGGTTTGGGGCTTAGGGTTTGTGGGCCCAGTTTGCTACTAAACCCAAACCCCAAACCCCAAACCCCAAACCCCCAAACCCCCAAACCCCCAAACCCCCAAACCCCCAAACCCCCAAACCCCCAAACCCTAAACCCTAAACCCTAAACCCCAAACCCCAAACCCTAAACCCTAAACCCTAAACTGTCTGCTCCAAAGGAATGCCTCCACCTCCCGACGCTGCTGGAAGTGCAAGACAGAAAGGCGCAAGTCGGGCGCACCCCCTCCTGAGAACCCGAACCCAAAGACGGGCTTGTTCCTAGGGAGCCAGGATCCTTTTTTGCTTCTTTGTGTTGTTTTCTCAGTGATTTAGGGTTTCCAGGCTTTTGTTCCTTGCATGACCAGGAGGTATCTTGTTTGCTTTGCATTTTTCAGGCTTAAGGTTTCTTCAAACCCTTACTCCTTTTTGTAAGGGGGTAAGACTCAAAGCTTTAAGCCTAAACCCTAAATCCGACCCGAAACCCTAAACCCTAAAAACCCTACACCCTAAAATCCCTAAACCCGAAACCCTAAACCCTAAAAACCCTACACCCTAAACTCCCTAAACCCCAGGTTCACGGTGGTGGCGGACACCTTCGAGGAAGTGGTGCTGCAGTCGGACGCCCACGTCTTCATCGACTGCACCGCCGACTGGTGCGGACCCTCTGTCGTCATCAAGCCTTTCGTTTATCAGCTTCTGGGCGAAGGTTTAGGGTTTAGGGTTTAGGGTTTGGGGTTTTGGGTTTAGGGTTTAGGGTTAAGGATTTCGGGTTTGGGGAAGTTAAGAACATAAAAGAAGGTAGTATTCCATTATGGTCACCCACCAAAACCCTCATTCTAATGATTAACGCCCCAAATCCTACTTTCTACTCTACATTCACATGGCGCAGACAGGGTTTAAAGATCCTTACAGACGGAATTACAGATCCATGACTTTGATATGTATCTACATGTATGTATATATATATATACAGTATACGATCCGAGCGAGTTGTTGCAAACCCTAAACCCTAAACCCTAAACCCTAAACCCTAAACCCTAAACCCTAAACCCTAAACCCTAAACCCTAAACCCTAAACCCTAAACCCTAAACCCCTAACCCTAAACCCTAAACCCTAAACCCTAAACCCTAAACCGTAAACCCTAAACCCTAAACCCTAAACCCTAAACCCTAAACCCCAAGCCCTAGGCCCCCAAGAGAGAGCCGAGGCTTGCCAAGATCACGCAGCCCCTGGAGGACATCCGGGTGGCGATGATGGACACGGACGAGAACATGGTGGACCCAGAGCTTTTCCCGGAGCCTTACATTCCGAACATGAATCTCGGTAGGCCCTTTTGGGATATGCTGTGTTTTCCGCTTTTCGGCTTTAAGCCCTAAACCCTAAACCCTAAACCCTAAACCCTAAACCCTAAACCCTAAACCCTAAACCCTAAACCCTAAACCCTAAACCCCCAAACCCCAAACCCTTCCGAGGGTTCCTAGGGGGCCATCCCAGGAAGCTCTTCATCCGGGGCAAGAAGGACAACCCGGTCAAGTTCGACGGCCAGCGAACCCTCGAGGGCATGATCCGGTTCCTAGCTAGGATCAGGGGGGCCCCAACCCTAAACGCTAAACCCTAAACCCTAAACCCTAAACCCTAAACCCTGAACCCTGTTTTGGCTCTCCTAAACAGGGACCTTATTCAGGGGGTCTATATCCCCCAAATTCCCCCGAATCCTACCTGCTAAGGTTCGTGCAAGACCACACGGGCATTGAGTTGGGGAACAAGTTGCAGGAGAAGCACCTCGACCTGGGCCCCACAGATAGGGTCTAGGGTTTAGGGTTTCGGGTTTAGGGTTTCGGGTTTCGGGTTTCGGGTTTGGGGTTTAGGGTTTAGGGTTTAGGCTGGAGATGACAGAGGTGTGCCCCAAGTGTCATGGCAAGGTATCCGGACTACAAAATGGCGAAGAAGATTGATGAGATGCTAGGCAGGAGCAATGTGGGAGTTTCCGCAAACGGGGGGTACCCTTTTTGGGGTCCCTCTAAGGGGATTCTTTTCCTTGTTGGGGTATAAAAAGGGGTACCCCTATTGTGGGACATACCCATGTTGTGTTGAGCGGGTCTAAGAGGATCTTATTTCATGAATCAATTCTTTTCTATTTTTTTGCCTAAACGCTAAGGCCCTAAGTCCTACACAAGGACATCTGGTGGGGCCACTGGGGGGGAGGGGGGGGGCAAACCCGAAACAACCCTAAACCTAAAACCCTAAACCCTAAACCCTAAACCCTAAACCCTAAACCCTAAACCCTAAACCCTAAACCCTAAAGCCTAAACCCTAAACCCTAAACCCTAAACCCTAAACCCTAAACCCTAAACCCTAAACCCTAAACCCTATACCCTAAACCCTAAACCCTAAACCCTAAACCCTAAACCCTGAACCCTAAACCCTAAACCCTAAGAAGGCGGGCTTAAAGACGACCCCAGCCTAGGAAAATTCTTGGAGCTGAGCGGGCGGTGCGCGAGCTTGCCTCGAAGTTCAGTTTGACCAGGTGGCGCGTATTGGGGTTTAGGGTTTAACGGTTTAGGGTTTGTGGCTTAGTTTGGGGTTCGAGGTCGACGTTGGTTTCAGGACCACACTTGGGGATTGGAAGGCGTTGAGGGGGCTTATGGGGCTCATGGGGTTTTGAGATGGTCAGTTTGCTACTCAAAACCCGAATACCCTAAACACCCAAATGCTCAAACAAAAACTATAGTCCCTCATCCCTAAACCCCCGTGACTGTCAGAGGATGGGCTCATTTAGGGTTTTAGGGTTTTGGGTTTTGGGTGCAGGGCTCACGGCTTAGCGTTTAAGGCTTGTGGCGCCCGCCGGCCCTCCGCGTTTCTGCCAGGTTTCGCTCGCCTGGCTCTGCCGTCTACCAGCCGCTCTCCATTGAGTCATACCCTAAGCCCTACAAGGCCGTGAGCTCTCTCAATAAATCCTCCTTCTTTTTTTAGGGGTTTAGGGTTTAGGGTTTAGGGTTTAGTTTTGTAGTTTAGAGTTTAGGGTTAGGGCTTAGGTTCCTGATAAGCCCCGTTAAACCAAAGAGGGCACCCTTTTTATTTCTAGGTTACTCTGGGGTCTAGCCTGTAAACCATGAGAAGCCTATGAATCATCTAAATCCTATAACTCCTGTAAACCCTCTAAGGCCCATGATAAGCCCTACAAGCCCTAGATCCCTAGACACGAAACCGTCTAAACCCTGAACCCACAACCTTCCAAACCCCAAAACCCTAAACGCTAGACCCGAAACTGTGCAAAAAACAAGCCCTAATCCTGAATCCTAAGCTAGAAACCCAACAAACCCTACAGACCCTGTCGACCCCATAAACCCTATAAACTCTGCAACCCCCATGAACCTTGTATGAGCATTTTCCCAAAATAGGGGGTACCGAAAGCCCCAGATGAACCCTCAGATCCATGAAAGCGTTCGAGCCCCACGCGCCGAGGATTGCGGCGGAGTACTGGCACGATCCAGACTCCTGCACCTCGGCCTTCCCCAGCTTCGCACACCTCGCAGATCTTATAGGTTTTAGAGTTTAGGGTTTAGGATCTTATAAACCCCACAAACCCTCAGGGTTTAGGCTTTGTCGGGTGAAACCCTATGGCTTAGCTTCAGGGTTGAGGGTTTAGTTTCTCGGACCTAGAGTCGCGAGGGTTTAAAGGGTTTAGGGTGTTCCAGGGGTTTGAAGAGCTCAGGGTCAGAGTGCGAAGAGGGTTGAGGGCCTACAGTTTTTTGGGTTCGTGGGTTTGAGGCGAAAGTGCCTATAGGGTTTGAGGGCTTTCGGGTTTTCAGGGTTTGCACACCCTTAGCCTGAAACCCCAAACCTTACACCATGTAGTCACCCGAATCGACAGGTACCCGGCGAGTGGAGTGGCTCTCGGCTCAGGATGGTGCAGAGTGGGGCAATGTGATGGAGGATCCAAGGGTTTAAGGTTCGGGGTTTTAGGTTTAGGGTTTAGGGCTTAGGGCTTAGGGCTTAGGGCTTAGGGTTTTGGGTTTTGGATCTTGGGGCTTGTCAGATAAGGGTTCAACCTCAAGTAGAAGAGGACCCTAAACCCTACACCCTACACCCTACACCCTACACCCTACACCCTACACCCTACACCCTACACCCTACACCCTACACCCTACACCCTACACCCTAAACCCTAAACCCTAAACGAACCGTAATCAAGCGAACTGTGCATGCGCAGATGACGGATTGCCCTCTAACAGGGGCCTTGTAGCTGACAGCCACCGCAGCACGAAGTCTGTATGCGCACATATTCGCACGCTCGCGCACGCTCGGAATGGTCAGCTCTGCCCTGAACCCTGAACCCTGAACCCTGAACCCTGAACCCTAAACCCTAAACCCTAAACCCTAAACCCTAAACCCTAAACCCTAAACCCTAAACCCTAAACCCTAAACCCTAAACCCTAAACCCAAAACCCAAAACCCAAAACCCAAAACCCAAAACCCAAAACCCAAACCCTAGCCTCTAAACCCCAAGCCCTTGCGGCTGCCTTGGAGGAAGCTTTGGAGCAGGTCGCTGGAATCACCCACGCGGCCCTGGAGACAAGCCAGCCAGTGCACCGGACAGCACTTAGCCCAAGGCTCTTTGCTTCCACGGTTGCCCTAAACCCTAAACCCTAAACCCTAAACCCTAAACCCTAAACCCTAAACCCTAAACCCTAAACCCTAAACCCTAAACCCTAAACCCTAAACCCTAAACCCTAAACCCTAAACCCCAAACCCCAAACCCCAAACCCCAAACCTTAAACCCTAACCCTAAACCCTAAACCCTAAACTCTAAACCCTAAACCTAAACTCTAAATCCTAAAACCCTAAACCCGAAACCCAACGCCTTTAAACCCTAAGCACTGAACTCCGAACCCCACTTTGCCTTTGGGTTGAACCCCCAGATGAAAGCTTCAGTCCCCAACTCCGTCTTGGACAAGTTTGCTGGGCAAGTTTTTCCGCAATCTCTGAACCCTCCAAACCCTAAACCATGACATTCCTGGTCCAGCTTTGCAATGCAGCTAGCCGAGTCTCAGGAAAATCCGGCGCCCGCTGTTCTCCAAGCTTTGCTGCGGCAATCTGCACCCGTGTGCAGCAGCCAGCCGCCACGACCAACCCAGAGCCACTTCGGTGAATCATGGGAGAGCGCTGCTGCATTGAGACTCAACCCTAACCCGTGAACGCTAAACATCATAGTCACTTTGCAACATAATTGGCGAGGCCCCGCCCCCCCCCCCCCCCCCCCCCCCTCCCCAAAGAAATAAGGGATGAAGCGACGGTTTAGGGTTGAGGGTTCAGGGTTTCGGGTTCATGGGAATGGGTTTAGGTTTTTTTTGGGTTTAGGGGATGCGTTGACGCCGAGGTCCCATGGATGAGACGGCGGTCCGGAAGCACTGGGAGTACTTGGAGTCGGCCATCCTTCGATCCTCAGGCCTGCTTTTTTTTGTGGGTTTCGGGGGGTTTCGGGGGGGTTTAGGGTTTAGGGTTTAGGCTCTAGGGTTTAGGGTTTGGGGCTTAGGGGTTTAGGGTTTTAGGGTTTAGGGCTTGACCTGGCTTCTTGAATGCGATGTTAAAGGGGCGTCAGACATGCCACAGATGCGGGAAGTACTTGCTGTAAGCGATGACCGGCAGGCAAGAAGCTCAAGGACACCCTGGACGACCTCTTCCGGCAAGGCTACCCGGTGGATGCCATTGAGGGTTTTTAACGTGAAAAAATCGGGTTTTAAGGTTTCTTTTACGTTCAAGCACCCCAAAAGGATACCCAAACCCTTAACCCGAAGCCCCAAACCCTAAGCCCTAAACCCTAAAAGGCTACCCGGTGGATGCTGGGCCTTTCGGCTACTCCGGCTTCTGGCTGGCTGCCGCTCGTGGGAAGCTGGAGGCGGTCCAGGCCCTCTTCGACTGGGGCGCCAACAGCCACCTGCAAGGTGCCAGGGAGCAAGAGCCCTAAAACCCTAAGCCCTAAACCCTAAACCCTAAGCCCTAAAGCCTAAACCCTAAACCCTTGTAACCCTTATAACCCTTATAACCCTTAACCCTCAACCCTCAACCCTCAACCCTCAACCCTCAACCCTAAACCCTAAACCCTAAACCCTAAACCCTAGACCCTAAACAAGGTGCCCGGGAGCAGCTCCTCCCCGTGGAGGTGGCTAGCTACATGGGCCACACCGACGTGGTGGTGTGGCTGATCAAGAAACTTGGTACTCGTGGCCCAGTGGTACCTCCTTCGTCCTTTTTTGTTTTTTTGTTGGGTTCTAGGTTCCCTTATAAAGTAGCCAACCCCAAAAAGGGTACCCTTATTAAACTTGGTAGCCCAGTGGTACCTCCTTCGTCCCTTTTTTTTTTTTTTGGTTCTTGGTTCCCTTAGAAAGTAACCTCTAGGTTCCCGCATAAAGTGGCCAACCCCCCAAAGGGTAGCCTTTGTTGTAATCTGGTTCCTGGGGGCTACCAAGGAGAGGGGTCTACCCAGGCAAAGTTCTGCACTTCGCCGCGAAGAGTGGCTAGGACCCGGAGGAAGCCCTTATTTCCTTTTGTTAGGGTTGTGGTTCCCCTATAATCCTCTGAAAGCCCAAGAGGGTACCTTCTTTTTATTACTAGGTTACTCCTGGGAGCAGTAAACCCTAAACCCTAAACCCTAAACCCTGAACCCTAAACCGTAAACCCTAAACCCTAAACCCTTTTTATTCCTATATAGGTTACTCCTGGGTCTAGGTGGGCATCTGGGCATCTTGGACAAGCTCGTCCTCTCGAGCCGCGAGAGCTCGCAGAAGGGGGAGGATGACCAGGATGTGCCTAGACCAGCTTGTGGCCTTAAACCCTAAACCCTAAACCGAGAACCCTAAACCCGAAACCCGAAACCCCAAACCCCAAACCCTAAACCCTAAACCCTAAACCCAAAGCCCTAAACCCTAAACCCTGGTCTTCTTAAGGCTCCCCTTAACATTTTTAATGGGCCATCGAGGTGCGTCGGGATCCCCTACTTCGCTTCCACCTCACTTCCCCCTGCTCCTGCTGCGGATGGACCCCGATCTTGCTGGCGGTGAACTTCGAGCAGGTGCCTAGGGTTTAGGGTTTAGGGTTTAGGGTTTAGGGTTTAGGGTTTAGGGTTTAGAGTCTCCCCCCCCCTCTGTGTTTGGGAGTGCACCCAGAAAAAGGCCACTTATGTATGCAAAACAAACAGAAGCAGGTCGCCGCCGGCCGCATGCTGATTCCGGCCACGAGCGATGAGGAGCTGAAGGAGCCCCTCAGGCCGAAAGTCTGCGAGCTCGCCGGCTTGGCGCGCGGCAGCAGCTTGCTGCACTTTGTGGCTGCCAAGGGCGGCTACTGTGGGGAGCTCATCGACTTGCTTGTCTCAAGGTGCCCAGAACTGCTGGACATGCAGGATGAGCTGAAGCAGACTCCCTTCGACGTGGCCACCCCGCAGATCCGGCCGAAGCTGAACAAGCTCTACCTCGGCTGCGCGCAGTCCCTGCGATCCAACTTCCTTGCCAGCACGGACCGCATCTCGTGGCCGGACCTCCGCCGCCAGCTCAAGGAGCACTTCCGGAAGGAGGTCCAAGCGCATGACCTGCAGAAGGTGCGGAGTTGAGTTTAAACGGTCTGATATTATAAGGTTGCGCTGTTTGCCTTGCGCGTAGGCAGATCTTAATATGAAGCTGTACCCTAAACCCTAACCCTAAACCCTAAGCCCTAAACCCTACTCATAAGCCCTAACCCCTAAACCCTGCATATTGTAAGACCAGCCCTGTGCCAAGGTGCAGAGCATTGTGCACGAGTCGCAGGAGATTTGTCGACCAGCCTCGCAGGCTTTGCAAAGCGATGAGTTCTTGCCCCAGGTCAAGGCGCTTCAGGGTTTAGGGTTTAGGGTTTAGGGTTTAGGGTTCAAGGGTTCGCGGTTTAGGGTTCAGGGTGTAGGGTTTTAGGGGTTTAGGTTTTTGGGGTTTAGGGTGTCTTTAGGGTTGTGCTTGTTGGGGGGTTCGGGTTGAGGGATACCTTGGATCAGGTTGCTTTATCCTTCACGAACCCGACGAGCCTAAGCTCACACTCCTTGACACCCCGGAACCCTGTGGCCCGAAACCGCGGGACCAACAGTGCCAACAAGCCCTCAACCCATAACCTTCCAAAAGCCTGGCCCTCCAAACTAAGAGCTTAACACTCCCTACACCCTAAATCCTACATTGAAAAGCTTAAACCCCCAACTCCCACACCCCCAAACCCCACACCCCAAACTCCAAACCCCACACCCTAAAACCCCAACCCCCAAACCCCCAAACCCCCAAACCCCCAAACCCCCAAACCCCCAAACCCCCAAACCCCCAAACCCCCAAACCCCCAAACCCCCAAACCCCCATACGGGGGGCAACCAAAGGGGGACAAAGAACAAAACAGTCAACCCCAAAGACCGCCCAGAACTTATATTCCCCAGATCGACCAGCACAACAAACCCAGAACACGGACCAGGAGAACCAGGGAAGGGAGTAAAGGAGGTCTATGCCTAAGCACCTGGGAACCAACCCCAACCCCAACCACTCGGGCTCTACCTCTTTTTTGCTTGTGGCCTCAGTACTTCTGGCCATCCTTGAGCCAGATATTGTCAGGTACATTGACCCTTCATTAAACCCCAACCCAATTCCTGAATACAAACTGCAGCTCCGCACTCCCCCTGTCCTAGGATTTCCTAGGACACAGACTGGAGGTGCAGATTTTCGGCCAAAAGCTGCCATTAAGGCAGCAGCCAGCTGCTTGAAATGCATCTTGTGGTTTAACGTCTTCCAGGACGAGTGAATTATATCACTTCTTCTAAGACCTTTTCAGCCTTCTTCACCACGAACCGCGGTCTTCGCTACCCAAAAGGCTATAAACTCTCTACTATCAGGGATTTCCATACCCTTAACAGTAACCCGACTCCTTTTTCCTTGACTCATTGGTCTTTCCACCAACCATTCTGCAAATTGTCACCAACACCAGGAAAAGGAACTAACGCGCGTCCCATCTTTGAAAACCAGTCACTTGTTCGTCTCCCGACCAGCTTCGCAGATCTTATGCAGCTGCACCAAAATGCTCTCCAGATCTCGAACTTGAACCACCGGATCAGTCAAACATCGCTGAATGGAGGACACCAATCCTTCTCGTCGCGCTTCCTCTATCGCTTTGCACGATGCGGTCTCCTGTGGCGTGACAGTAGCTGATTCTGAGGGAACGGAACCAGAAGCTTGTCCCCTCTTCACAGGCTCTCCTCCTTCATTTGGTGCTGCATCCCTTTTCTTGGGACTAGGTGCCTTCTCCTTCTTTTGTAACCGACTTGCAGAACTGCCAGGTTTTGATCGCACTCGATGAGAAGCTTTTTCCCGCTTTTGAACCGAGGGCTTTTCAACCTCGGAAACTGCTGCCTTTTTTGCTTCCACCGGAGTGGCACCAATTGGCCTCTTTTTTGGCCTTGGAACCAACATGGTGTATGGATCATGTGTTACAGCAAGCCTCCTCTTCTTTCGGCTCTTCTCTGGCTCCTCATCCACCTCGACGATCACTTCTGTGACCTCTGGTACAACCTCCTCCTCAACTGCAGGCTCACCAGCGACCTCTTCTTCCAAAGGCCTTTTTGTTCCACCATTGGTGTCGCTTCCACCATCCAGCTGAGCGTTTTCGTACCAGATTCTTAAATCATTCACCCATTCCTCAACCTCTTCAAGCGGGATATCGACGGATCTCACCACCTCATACAGTTCCAGCGCGGATAACATCTTATCCGTCCACGAAAGCCACTCTGAGTTTTTCTGATCATCATCAGTTATCTTCAAGAGCTTGAAAATCGGCTCCCCTTCATAACGGTCGATGTCGTCCCTCCCACCAGACATGTATGACACCGCTTCAGTAATGAGGTTGCTCTTGTGGGTTTCCTCATCATACTCCATTTCTTCACCAAGATCTTCTCCCCTTTCTGGAGAAAACCTCCTTCCACCGTCGCCCTTCGCGGAACGCTCCCTTGGTGGTGTAGCCGGCGACCTTGGCCTCTCATGCTCAAATACGCACCGATCGCCTCTCTTGCATCTTCCCGTTTGAAAAAACGGAATACATCTCACCCCAGCTGTATCGTGTGAGAACCTGCAGTCTTTTCCAGCGTGGCACCCACGTCCATCCACATGATATTTGCACCAATATGAGGCTAATACCACATCCTCATTTGAATGAATAAATTTGCAGCTCTCACCAAATTTGCAGCGATTGTTCCCTTTTTCGTACCAATAGCAGATGCCTTGCCTCCTTTTTGACAAACGTTCTGCCTCCAGACGGTCCATTGAACAATCCTGCACTACATGGACATTGCCACGATCAGGAGAACTACCTCTTCTACCCAAGGTGCTATCAGTGGATGCTTCAGTGGAATTTCCTGGAAAACCCTCTTGATACTCCCCCAGTCCCGTGATTGGTTTTCCTCTGATTTCTGAGCCAAATACAACCAATCCATGTTTCTTGAGCATCTTCAAAAAAGGCTTCCTACCTTTAAAGCTCCATACCCGATTGGCTGGAATCATTGTCCTACCAACTTGACTTCTCAACTTCCCAACACGATACAACTTCCTTTGACCAGCCCTAAACCTTTCAACCAAAGAGCTCTTAGGACTCTAGAGGCAGCTACATTCTCCACCTCTACCTTTTCCAACTGTCCCTCACTTTCCGGAACAAACCCATCCAGCACATCCATGTCTGAAGACATTTCCATCTTTTTGACACCACTCCATCGAGGTAATCTTCAGAGATCCAGGGTAAGGTCCTCTTAGAGGAAATCAAATCATCATCATTGTTCGGTCCTTCACCAGGATACCCTTTCGTACTGTCAAAGATTCTCCCAGTTGTGCGGTCTTGCATCGAAAAATCCCAATTGGAAGCAACTCGAGAATACACCGACCACAAGAACATTCTTGTGCCAGACAGTCTTGACGAACCACTGGTCGTTTCCTCTTCCGGAGAGATTTCTGGCGCTTTGCCATCGATTCCAGTGTCACCAGTCGTTTCACTTCCAGCATCTTCTATGGGAAGAGGGGTTTCATTGATCCCTTGTCCAAGAACCGCATCTTGCTGTCCAGAGATCTCCAGCACCATCCCTGAAGGATCCACTTCTGCATCATCATCATCATCGTCCATTCTTTTCCAAAGATCCTCCAACTCATCAGCACACGTCGCCGCTTGAAGGAATTCCATCAATTGATCCCTTCCGCGCTGCCAGATACATTCTGAGTTCACCACCGTCCCTTGGCCTCCTAGAGTAAGGAACGGGAAAACCAATCTTGCTACCCTAGCCATACGTCCAACGTGAACTTCCATGCCTGGAATACGGCTCCAATCGTAGGCTATTGCCTCCATGGCAGTTCCAAACTTTTCAGTATTTCTGAATTCCCTTTCCAGGCCAGGAGATAGCAATACACCCATCACCGAAAGAGGATAATTTCCCACTGCTGGCAAACACGGAGCATTATGGAACGGATGATGCAAATCACCATAATGTCTTCATCTCTCCTTTGAGTAAGGAGTCTCCCAGTCTCTCTAACTGGGCATTCAGTTCATCCACCTGAATCATTTCAGCGCATATCTTCCGCGCTGAAGCCGCTATTGCGGTCCATATGGCACGATCGGCCAAACCACGACGCGTAACCCACTCAGTCGTTGGCGATTGGATCAATATTTGTGGATCATACGCCGGAAATATTGCTGTACCATCATCCATTGAATGACCAGCATCGTCCACCAGTGCCAGGTTCAAATCCTGTTCGTTTGCACCGTCTGAAGACATGCTAATAACCAAATTTCGATCCATTTTATTGGACCCTTTTGGACAGTCCTTTTGCTCCACAGGCAACCTGCCGGCAGCAACCTTCCAATAAATCCGCTTCAGAAGACCTTTGGCAAGTTATTGTTCATGGCTCTTCTGCGCCTTAAGGACAGCCAATTTTTTCTTACCATCACCACGGAGTTCATTGCTCCCACCTTCGCCTTCCTGTTGCTCAGTCTCATCGCCAGTAATTTGTACTGCTCCTTCTAGCGCCGTCTCCTGTCCAGCCACATCTTGCCCAGGTAGAACTTGAGCGCTTTCAGATATATTCACCTGTCCAGCAACACCTTGCCCAGGTAAAACCTCATCCGTGGAGCCCACCGCCAGCGAACCATCAATAACAGAGCCATCCCTTGCCCTTTTTTGAGACTGTGTAGCTCGAAGAGAAGGTTGTGATAGCGAAAAGGCTTGAGAAGTCACTTCTTGGCGGGTCTCCCCCCGCGACGCTTTGTCGCGCCCTTCGCCAAGGTGAATCGATTTTTTCTGCTCTTCATTGGAGCTCGGAGAACCAGTAAGTGGCGTGCCTCAGTTCTCTGTGAATCCCTTTCACGCAAAAAGGTTTCCCACAGGTGTCGCGCGTTGTTGGTTTCTTCCTCGCCTGAATCACCTGAAGACTCGGCGTAGGAGACTAAAGCTCCCGCCTGATCATCATCATCCACCACATCCGCCCATGCTTTGCTAAATCGATGCGACAAACCACCACGAGGTTTCAATGGCTTTGGCTTTTCCACCACCTCTGCTGGCCGCACGCGCCGATTTGAATGAGAACGTGGCACAAGTCGCACCTGTTTTCGATCCAGCAATGGCAAGGGCCTTCCCCTTTTGACAGGGTTTGATCTTGAACTGTAACCCTTTTTCGGCGGGTTCACCGGCGGCATTCCAACCCCCACCAACTGCAACCTCTGCACGCACAGCGGAGACCTCTGCGCAAGCGCCCAAGCGTCACGGTACTTGCCTTTGTCGAAAATCTCTCGATAGGACCCTCGCGGCATCTCTTTTGTACCAGGACCTTCAGCTTCACGCACCTGAGAGATGGTTCTCACCACATCCCTTCCAGCTTCACGGCTTCCAAGAAGATCGCTCCATGCGTACTGATGCATTGGTAGAAACAGCCACGTCCGGCGACATTGGCCGGTAACAGACGCCACCCACCAGTTCCAGAATTTTGCAGGCAGTCACCTTGTTAACCCCTTTTTCAACCAAATCTTCCACGAAGATATACTCCTGGAGCTCCTTGACCTTGGTCACACCAAGCTTGATCATCACTTCACTTACGTGAGGAGTATACACCCACAAGTGTTGATTGCGAGCCATCCAATGTTCTATTGTCTGGATTCTGAAGACGTACAGTGGTGGACTCTGCCACCGAATCCTTTTGTACATCTCCTTCTGCTCCATCCAGTGTATCAACCTCACCTGCTTTCTTTGACACATTGGTCATTTGCAACGCCTGTGGTGCCGAGGATGATGAAGATTCCGCTCCCCCAATTGCAGGTGGTTGGAAAGTACTTCTATCTGGAATCTCCAGTCCTCTTTCTCTTTGAAACCGAACCTGGTTCGCTACGTTCGCCAAATATTTCAGTTGAGTCAGTCGCTCTTCTGACATTTCGTCGTGGGAAAGTCTGCAACCAAATCGCACGCGACATCTCCCTTTGAGATAATAGTCGAAGCAGCAATGGTGGAACCCTGCGTCCCTTATGGACTTCCGAGAAGCATTGTCCCAAGATTTGCCGGGTTCCCAAGTCCCTTCCAAAACCGCTTTGTCGTCGTGAATATATCTGCAGGAATTTCCGTATCTGCAACCCCCTTGGTTGTAATACAGACACATCTGCTTTTTTGACTCGACTGACACAGGCTCACCTTTTGACACCCCTTTGCCGTAGTTGTACTGGGCCCGGAAGGCTGAATCCTCCCGTTCCTGCTGTGCCTCGTCCACTGTACCTTCATCAATCGGAGGGCTACCAATGTCCCCATCCTCGTCACCAACTTTTTGGCTGTTCTCGGCCTCAGTTGGACCTCTTTCTGGCCACCCATCACCAGGACGACGATGCTCATAGGGACACCTCCCTTGATTGAAGAATTTGCACAGCTTGGTGTACCCTGGCGACACAGTTCTTGGCATCATGTAAACCTTTCTACACTGATCCAGGTCCATGTAGGCTTCCATTGGTTTGTTCTCCTTCACACTCATAGATTCAACCGCACCATCAAGCTCTTGCAAAAACCGCTTGGTATCCAACCAGAGCACGTTCCAAAGTTCATCTCCGCCTTGGTTTAGCAACATTGCCACCGCTTCACCTGCGACCGGTTCACTATATCTCCTTTTTTTACGTGCCAGGTCGTAGAGCGCATTGTGGTACTGCTTCCGGGGAAATGTTGTTATTTTTCCCAAACCTGCATTTTCTGTACCATCGGGCGTCCAACCATCACTGCACAGGATATTGTATGCATGCCGAGCTTCATTGTCCATTAATGCAGGATCTGCCACAAACTCCCTAACCTCGTCCATTCGACGACTCAGCAACATCCCAGTGATTTTGCCCAAATAAGCCTTTTCAGCTTTTGCATCCTCCACGAGTGCTCTATAGATTTTCTCTCCACAGAGTTGTTTTTGAAAGGATTCCTCTTGTACTTCCGAGGATAACCCCTGATCAGCAAACCACTCATCGGATTGCCATTCTTCCAATTTCCAGTCCCATTGACCGTTGGAATCTTGGTACCATTGACCAGCATACCATGAATCTTTCCACCACATACCCCAACCGCTGTCTTTCCATTTGCGCAGCGTTGAGGAAGAGTCCTCCTCGTCCTCTTCCAAAACCAGGTAGGTGTCTAAGATCACAGTGCCATCTTCTTCTACCCTTTTCACTTCTGCATTGACATAATCACCAATTTTAAAAAGAGGTGTGTCTTTCCCTTCTGCAGGAATCAGTACAGTCATCTCACCATGATCCAAATAAGCTCCACAAGCGTTGATGTAGTGAACCAGACCATTGACTTTATCTCCCGCAACATAGAAATGCTTCCCAGGTGTAGTCAAGGCTTCCTCATTGGGCACTTCCTTTGTTTGTTCTTCAGAAACCACCCCCTTTTCATCGGCTCCTGGAACATCCCTTGCTTCCACCCTTGGGCCAAGCTGCTTGTCCTGCTCCTGCACGAGTCCCGCAAGATCACCCACCTTGCGCTCCAGGGATTCAGGACCATCTTCTTTTTTAGCCAACGGCTCTGCCTCATCTGGTTGCAGTCTGCACGGTGTCGACTTCCGGCAAGCTTCCAGACGGCAATACCTCCTCTTTTTTGAAAGTGGACCCACCATTGGAGTCCTTTGTCAAATCATCTGCAGCAGGCAATTTTTCTTCCACCACAGGGTTCTTTGATTGGTCATCCACGGCAGGCGCATTCTCTTCCACCGCAGGATCCTTTGGCTCCATGGTTACCAACGGAGAATCATCACCGCCGTCAGCCACAGCTGCCACATTGGCTCCGGTGCGGCTCAAAAGACCTTGCTCCACGCCACCAACTTCAGAATGCACAAGCGCGTCCGCCGATGCACCTCCATCGTCGGCTACTACAGTGACCTGCGCCCCATTGTTGCAGTCAACTGCGGAGCATGTACCATCTCGTGCCTCGCCCCGTGCTTTCTCTGCACTCCAGGTTTCATCCGGCACATTTGCCCGCACCTCATTGGCGCTCCAGGCCTCAACCTTCTTTTCCGGCAAATCAACCGCATCTCCAGCTATTCCAGAAGCCTCATTTTTCCCTTGAATGGCGGAATCCATGGCACCAGACGGAGAAACCTCCTCAGTCGTAATACACAACCTTTTTCCTCCATCATCCTCATCTTCAGGACCAACCTCCTGAATGCCAGATACTTCATCCACCATTGGCTCCTCTGTAGCCGACGCAGTATTCACCTTTACATCAAGAATTTTACCCTCCGGATCCATAGATATCACCGCTGCGTCACCCTCAGAAAGTGCTTTGATTTCTTCCCGATCCAGGTGTTCTCCAGCCATGTCTATTCGGACTCCAGAAATTCCTTCCTCGTCAGGGGAACCCGAGGTTTGGGCGTCGCCGCCACCCTTTAAACCGCTATCCCCAATAGTAGAGGAAAATTCCTTTTGTACACTATTTACACCGCTATCTACACTTCCTAAGCTACCCTGTTGTGCCCTGAAAGATTCAGTAGGCGATGAGGACGAAGTTGTACCCAGTGCTGGCTCTTCTTCCACAGGGACAGTGCCCATTCCAACACCAGATGCCTCATTGTTTCCACCCTTTTCAGTCTCTCCAGGAAACACCCACTGGGTATTCTCAGTGTTCAAGCAGTAAAAATACTCTCTTCCATCCTCATGAAAATGGCGCTCCCACATCGTCCCATCACTGGCAATGATCGAAGTGTCAGCAGCTTGAGGCGCTTTGCCTTCATCAACAGCATATAAGTCCTCCTCCGACTCCTGCCGTATCCTCGCCGCTTCCAACTCCAGGATTTCTTCCTCATTCATCACCCCAGTAATAGGCTCAATTCCTTCTGCGTCCCCAGTAAAGAGGATACTGCCTCTTGTTGCAGCAACAGGCGCAGTTTCTTCCGCTTCTCCTGTCAGCAGATCACCACTTTCAGTCGCGACGCTCACTTTGTTGCGAGCTCGCTTGAACACAGGATAGAGGAGCTTGCCCCTGATGCTCCCGTTGACCCAGCAGGTTCCATGGCTCGAAGATCAAGTCCATGTTTGCGCAGAAGACGCAGCAAAACCACTTCCATCTCGCCTTCCACCTTTTCTACCACCGACTTCTCTTCGCCACGCATACCACCAGCATCAACCAGAGCTTCCGCATTGGGAATCATTTTTTGACCAGTCGCAGACCTCTTGTCACCCTTTCCACCTTGATCGCCCACATTGGGGTTCGATGACGTAGATCCGGTCTGCAGCCAGTTGGAAGCCATTGCTTCGAAGGCTTAGGATTACCACCCTTAAGCCCAAACACGAACCGCAGGGAACCTAATTTGGGCTCATAACCTACGGGGGGCAACCAAAGGGGAACAAAGAACAAAACAGTCAACCCCAAAGACCGCCCAGAACTTATATTCCCCAGATCGACCAGCACAACAAACCCAGAACACGGACCAGGAGAACCAGGGAAGGGAGTAAAGGAGGTCTATGCCTAAGCACCTGGGAACCAACCCCAACCCCAACCACTCGGGCTCTACCTCTTTTTTGCTTGTGGCCTCAGTACTTCTGGCCATCCTTGAGCCAGATATTGTCAGGTACATTGACCCTTTTCATTAAACCCCAACCCAATTCCTGAATCCAAACTGCAGCTCCGCCCCCAAACCCCCAAACCCCCAAACCCCCAAACCCCCAAACCCCCAAACCCCCAAACCCCCAAACCCCCAAACCCCCAAACCCCCAAACCCCCAAACCCCCAAACCCCCAAACCCCCAAACCCCCAAACCCCCAAGCCCCCAAGCCCCCAAGCCCCAAGCCCCAAGCCCTAAACCTGAACCCTAACCCTAAACCCTAAACCCGCGCCAGGAGCTGGAGTCCTCTTTGCCCAGCTCTGGGTCTTCCAAGCCGCCGGCGCCTCTCAGCGACGGCCTGGAAGCTGCTGCGAAAGCGCCGGAGGTGGGTGCAGCTTGGGTTTTGCTAAGGGTTTAGGGTTTAGGGTTTAGGGTTTAGGGTTTAGGGTTTAGGGTTTAGGGTGGGTTTGGGGTTTAGGGTTTCGGGTTTAGGGTTTAGGGTTTAAGGTTATGGCGGTTCAGGGGAGTGTCGTTCGGCTGTTAGTGGTTATTTGCGGGTTTTAAATTTTAGGGTATAGGGTATAGGGTTTACATGGTCCTGTTGTGGGCCGAGTGCAAGCATGCAGGAGGGCAGGATCGCAGCGTAGATGGTGCCCGGGAATCACGGCAACTGGAGCCCAAAGCCAAAACCCTCGAAACCCCAACCCCCCACAAAAATCCCCGAAGCCTACAGCCCCTTCCAAAACCTGAAACCCCAAATTCCCTAAACCCTAAACCCTAAACCCTAAACCCTAAACCCTAAACCCTAAACCCTAAACCCTAAACCCTAAACCCCAAACCCTAAACCCTAAACCCTAAACCCTAAACCCCTTCGGCGCGGTGTCCGGGCAGGACCGCCTGCTGGACATGCTCAAGGGGCTGGCTGCGGCGGAGGGGCTAGAAGTGAAGGTTGTGAAGGTCGACGCTGCCAGCAGTGCCATGCCTTTGTAGTCTTTTATAGGGTTTAGGGTTTAGGGTTTAGGGTTTAGGGTTTAGGGTTTAGGGTTTAGGGTTCAAGGGCTTAAGGGTTTAAGGGCTTCAGGGTTTAAGGGCTTTAAGGCTTTAAGGGTTTGAGGGCTTAAGGGTTTAAGGCTTTATGGGTGTAAGTTGGGATGTTCCCCCATTTTCGAACAGTCCTTAATAGAGATTTTTGTATCCCAATTCTCATCCCGATTAAGGACGCTAGTATAAGGGCAAACATGGCAAGTTGTAAGGTTTCGGGCTTAGTGGCGGAGTCGTTAGGTTTTGGGAGTTGGGCACAAGTCAAAAAAAAGTCTCTCTACCTTTCTAGAATCCCCCTCTACCCTAAAACCCCCGAGCCCTAAACCCTAAACCCTAAACCCTAAACCCTAAACCCTGAACCCTGAACCCTAAACCCTAAACCCTGAAGCAAAAGGTACGCCGGGCTTCCGAAGGGTCCATGTGGATCTGCAGAGCTGCCTGGCGATCCTGAAGGTCGGCTTGTTTTGCAGTTTAGGGTTTAGGGTTTGGGTGTTTAAGGCTTATTAGGGTTTAAGGTAGGGGGCTTGGGGTTGGGCTAACCCGAAAGCCAAAATCCGAAAAAAACCCCAACACCTTCAGCAGCCAAAACTCTAAGCAACCCTACAATGCCCTAAAAGCCCTTAGAAAGCCCGAAACCCCCATCCCTAAAAGCCCTAAACAACCCCAAAAGCCCTAAAAAACCTTAAAGCCCAAAGCTCCAAAGCTCCAAAGCTCCAATCCCTAACTCTCACAGGTCGTGTCCTGGCTGCGGTCGCACGAAGGAGTGGGCTGGCAGGGGATGCGGAACCACTTTGCCACGCCGAACGCCCTGGGAGTCTTGTTGTGCTGTTGAGGAATTTAAGGGTCTAGGGTTTAGGGCTGAGGGGCAGATAATGAGTACCTAAATATGTACTTGTAAATGCAAATACAGATATAGATATAAGTATAAATATATGGAAAAGATGAGGGTGTCCTTATTCTGCGCCGCTTAGGAAACTACAAGGTCTCCCTAAGATGGATGTACATATGCATCTATGCGTATACAAATGCCGGGTGGTGTCCTTAATCTGAGAACTTCAAACCCTAAACCCTGAACCCTAAAACCCTAAACCCTAACCCTAAACCCTAACCCTAAGCTTCTTACTGGCAGCCCAAGGAGTTCGTGAGCTCATCTGCTACCTGGACATGCGCAGCCCAAGTGCCGAAGCTAGCGGCGGACACGGCGATCAGTGCCTCTTGTTCTTGAGGCACAGGAGCTTCTCCCAAGTGCTGGAGCAGGCATCGAGGGGTTTGCTGTTCAAGAAAGAAGGCCAAGTAAGGACCGCGGATAGATCCCTTGTGCATGAGGAAAGCTTACATGACTCCCCCCCGCCTCCCCCCGGCGCGCCTAAAAGCCAAAAGCCCCCACAAGCCCATAAAACACTGAACACTGAACCCTAAACCCTAAACACTAACCCTAAACCCTAAACCCTAAACCCTAAACCCTAAACCCTAAACCCTAAACCCTACACCCCTGGCAAAGGTGGAGGAGAAGCGCCAGGAGCTCAGCAAGGCCCTGCAGGAGCTGATAGGCCAGGATCCGGGGGCGGAGGCCTTCTTGCCGCTGGGCGGCGGATTTGGGAAGCAGCTTTTTAAAGGGATTTCGGTGGCGCAATCCTATATGACCTTAAACCCTAAGCCCTAAGCCCTAAACCCTAAACCTTGCTAAACCCTAAACCTTTCTAAACCCTAAACCTTTATAAACCCTAAACCCTAAACCCTAAACCCTAAACCCTAAACCCTAAACCCTGAACCCTAAACCCTAAACCCTACAGAGCCTAAACTCTAGCCCTCCGCAAGATCCGCGCGCCCAGGCTGGGCCAGCTTGGGATGGACCCGAGCCAGGAGGTCCTGCGGACCTCCCGAGGCGACTTGGAGCAGCCCTAAACCCTAAACCCTAAACCCTAAACCCTAAACCCTAAACCCTAAACCCTAAACCCTAAACCCTAAACCCTAAACCCTAAACCCTAAACCCTAAACCCTAAACCCTACACGCTAAATCCTAAACCCTAAACCCTAAGCCCAAAACACTAAACCCTAAACCCTAAACCCTAAACCTCCCGAGGCGACTTGGAGCAAGCCCTGGGCCAGGGGAGCAAGTTAGAAGACCAGGCCGGGATCTCATTTTTTCATTCTGGGTCCTTTTTTTTCTACCTCTCTCAATGTGTACATATATATATATATATATGTGTGTACATATATATATATATATATTAACATGTATACATTTTTGTGGGGGCGGGAAGGGTTGCTGAGGTTTAGAGTTTAGGGGTACTGCCCTGACCACGGAGAGCCGTTTAAGACCTGGGCATCTTGAAGCCCCCACTATGGGAGATCCCCGTTACCCAAAATACCCATTCTGGCTATGTAGCGCCCGAAAGGAAACTAACCCCCTACACCCCTAAAACCCCCCTAAGCCTCTAAACCCCCCCCTAAACCCCTAAACCGCTAAACCCTAAACCCCCACAAACCCCTAAACCCCAAAACCCCCTAAGCCCTAAACCCTAGCACCCCTAAATCCCTATAAACCCCTCAACCGACCAAACCCCCAAACCCCCAAACCCCCAAACCCCCAAACCCCCAAACCCCCAAACCCTCAGACCCCCAAACCCCCAAACCCCCAAACCCGCAAACCCCCAAACCCCCAAACCCCCAAACCCCCCGACCCCCACACCCTCAAACCCCAAACCCTAAACCCTAAACACCACACCCTAAACCCTAAATTGTGTTTAGTCCCATTTTGGGAGGACTCATCCGGCTGGTCGGCGCTGATGCTGGCCGCGCAGCTGAACGACACGGAGGCGGTGAAGTGGATGCTGGAGAAGGTGGGTCAGGGCCGAGGATTATTGGTTTTAGGGTTTAGGGTTTAGGGTTCAGGGTTCAGTGTATAGGGGTTTGGGGGTTTAAGGGTGTAGGGGTTTAGGCGTTAAGGGTTTGGGTTTTACTTCTTTTGTTACCTCGACACCCAAACAGATGTAGGGAAGGTCCGACATCCACAATGCATTTAGGGTTTAGGGTTTAGGGTTTAGGGTTTAGGGCTCAGGGCTTAGGGCTTAGGGTTTAGGGTTTGCGGGTAGTAAGCAACCTTCATCCTGAGGCGAGCCAGAGCCCGAAGCCCTGGAAAAAACCCGCTGTTGACAGACGCTGTCATCCCTTCCAAACCCTGAATCTATTTGCCAAAACAGCCAAACAATCACCCTAGGCCCTAAACCCTAAACCCTAAACCCTAAACCCTAAACCCTAAACCCTAAACCCTAAACCCTAAACCCTAAACCCTAAACCCTAAACCCTAAACCCTAAATCCTAAACCCTAAACCCTAAACCCTAAAAGTCATGTGCTACGGTTTGAAGGACCCAAGCATTGGCCTCAAGACCAACCGGGCCGGCCAGACAGCGGCTTGGTGTAAAGGACCGAAGCAGGATTCGAGGCATCAGGCCTGGGTTCGGGTCTAGGGTTTAGGGTTTAGGGTTTAGGGTTTAGGGTTTAGGGTTTAGGGTTTGGGGTTTGGGGTTTGGGGTTTAGGGTTTAGGGTTTGGGGTTTGGGGTTTAGGGTTTAGGGTTGAGGTTTTGGGGTATTCGTCAGCCAAAAGACTCTTGTGAGTCAAAAGATCTACTAAATCTTGGTCTCCCCAGAGGCCACTATGAGGTTTGGGGACTGGGGCTCAAGGGCTAGTAGGGTCGAACCCTGTAATCCCTAAGCCCTAGACCCTAAACCCCAGACCCCGCAACCCCCCCTTAACATCTCCGTCTGACAACCCGAAACCCTAGACGCGAAATCCCTAGGTCCCTAAAGAACGCGACATACATCAACATACAAAGGGGCCTCTCAAGCCCGAAGCTGTCATGTCCCTGAAGCTTCTAAAGCCCCAAGGCCCTGAGGACCCTAAAGACTTTAAGGCCTATAATCCTAAACCCGAAAACCTAAACCCCCTCTTTTGGGAAGGCACGGAACCGCGAGCAGAGTTCGCGCGCACGGCATCACTAAAAAGAACCCAACGGCCCGAAAGCCCTAAAACCCTCGGGAACCCTAAACCCCAAACCCCAAACCCCAAACCCTAAGCCCTAAGCCCTAAGCCCTAAACCCTAAAGCCTAAACCCTAAACCCTAAACCCCAAACCCTAAACCCTAAACCCTAAACCCTAAACCCTAAACCCTAAACCTTAAACCCTAAACCCTACCAAGGGCATGATGTGGGCCAGCTGGTGGAGAGCCTCTGAGATGCTGACGATCTTCCGGACCCGCGGGTTTGAGTTGACCCATGGGGATCAGGAGGGGCTGCGAAGGCTCCTGGGCCTCTGCTTGGCAGCTTTTTTGCTAGGGCTTAGGGTTTAGGGTTTAGGGTTTAGGGTTTAGGGTTTAGGGTTTAGGGTTTAGGGCTCAGGGCTTAGGGTTGAGGGCAGGGTTTAGCAGGCTTCGGGCTTCTACTTGACACGTTTGGTTTTCATTTTTTCACAGGTGTTTTCAAGGGCTGTTGCATATGTGCTTGTGGTGGTTCCTGTGTATAAGCCCTATATAAACCCTAAACCCCGAAACCTCTCAACCCCTAAACCCCTAAACCCCAAAACCCTAAACCCCAAACCCCAAACCCTAAACCCTAAACCCTAAACCCCGAAACTTCTCAACCCCTAAACCCCTAAACCCCAAAACCCTAAACCCCAAACCCCAAACCCCAAACCCTAAACCCTAAACCCTAAACGCTAAACCCCTAAACCCTAAAACCCTAAACCCTAAGCTGAGGCTTTGCGAGGCTCAGAAGCAAGCCGAAGACTCGGACGACTTGGCAGCCCTGGCCCTGCTCCGGGTGGACCCGACTGAGCTGGAGTCTGTGGGAACGCAGGCGGGGGGGGCTTCTTAGGGTGTTTAGGGTTTGGGGTTTTAGAGGGTTTAGGGTTTAGGGTTCAGAGGGTTTAGGGTTTAGGGTCTATAGGGTTTAGGGTTTGTAGGGTTTAGGGTTTAAGGTTTAGGGTTTATAGGGTTT